GCTTAATTGTTGGGAAATATGAAATCGGCTACTAGTCGAAGTGTCCAACCTGATCTGATTAGAGAAATTATGCCCCTGCTTGTTTTGTTAAAAATATTATCTTTAATAGATTTTAACAGAAGTTAATCATTATAAGATTCTCACTTTTAAATTAATTACTCACTCGGCAACTCTCTATTAAATAGTTGGATAAGATTATTTTAAATAAAAAAGTCAACGATGTAATTATCATAAAATATATGATTAAAATTAATTATTAATTTTGATTTCAATTTTTAACTAAATCAAGTATGTCCTTAAGTTAGGGGTGGAAACAAGCTAAGCCCAGCCCAGCCAAATCGGCTCGCGAGCCTAATCTTGGGGCTCGGTATCAGCTCTTAAGAAAAAGTTTTGAGCTCTAGCCGAGTCGGCTCACGGGCTTTTCAATTTTTCTTTTATTTTTTACTCAAATTTATGAAAAAATTGATCGTTAATTTACAAAACTATAAAATTAATTTAAAAACTATAAAAGTAATTATGTAAGTTGTTTAATTTTACAAACTAAAAATTTAATTATGCAAGTAACTTAAAAAGACGTGCCCACATATGGGCAACTCATGTTTGGGCTCGTGTGGCTCTTGGGCTAACAAGACTCAGCCAAATCTCATTTTTGAGGCTTGGCTCATAAAGACAAGCTTCGGGCCGGTTCGACTCAAGCTCTTCCCAAGTCTAGCAATGGACCGTCTGAGTCGACATGCACGTTTACCACCACTACTTTATTCGGGCATTGCTGATGTTTTGGGTGTTTCATAAAGTGAAATTTGCTTTACAATCAATATATTTTATAGTTTTGCTGCACTTACATATTAGTTGACATTCTGAACTACATTCCATTATATGTAACATAATTTTATCATTGATTTGTCCAACATTTAAAATTATTAGGGTGCATTTGATTGTAAGGGTGGAAAATGGGTTGAAAGAAAATGTTTTATAGGGAAAAGGTTTGCCTAGAAAATGTTTTGCAGGGAAAATGATTTCAAGTNAAAAAAAAAAAAAAAAAAATTTCAGCCAGCCTGGAAAATTTTTTCTCACCAAAAAGGCGGGAAAATATTTTCATCAAAAAGTCGGAAAATGCACACGTGTGGGCTAAACCCGGAAAATATTTTTCGTGGAAAATTTCGCCTATCAAACAGCCAAAAAAGTGGAAAGTGGAAAATATTTTCCTAGTTGCCTGAAAAATAAGGCGTATCAAACACGCCCTTATTGATTTTGATTTTGCCACCTATTCAAATGATATACTACTAGCGTAATTGTATTCTTTATATCAAGTTGCATAATGAATACATGCGGACTTTGCTGATCAAAGGTCAACCTTCAACGTCAACCTTCAACGTCTCTTGCACACATCAACCATCTCTTGCTTTCCGTTGCAAAAGGATAACAATGGCTATCGGCGAAATCTTTCTGAGCGCAATTGTCTCTGTTTTGATCACTAAGTTGGCTTCAGGGAACCTAATGGAATTTCTGCGTCGTCTAGGAATCGATGCCCAGCTGAAAGAATGGCACACGAAGTTGCTGATGATTAAAGCGGTGCTTACTGATGCAGAAAACAAGCAAACAGAAAATGAAGCTGCAAAAGTGTGGCTAAATGATCTGGAGGATTTGGCTTATGATCTTGATGACTTACTAGATGAGTTGAACACTGAAGCTTTGCAGCGCGAATTAAAAGAAAAAAAAGACAGAACTGGAATGGTACGGAAGCTTATCCCTACTTGTTGTACTAATTTCTCTTTCACTGATTTCATGTTTGATCGCGGAATTACTTCCAAGCTAAAAGATATCAGTGACCGATTGGAGTTTCTAACCAATCACATTAGTATCCTAAATTTGGTGGAGAATGTGAGGGGAAGGAGTGACAAAACTGGAAAAAGATTGCAACTGACTTCGGTTGTGGAAGAATCTGAAGTATATGGCAGAAAACATGATGAAAGGAAAATACTCGATTTATTGTTGAGGGTTGAATCAAATGATGGTCCATTATTAGTGATTCCTATAGTGGGCATGGGAGGCATCGGGAAAACAACTCTCGCCCAACTGGTCTACAATGATGAAATATTGCAGGGTAAGTTTGATCTCAAGGCATGGGTTTGGGTTTCAGATGAATTTGATGCTCTTAAGATAACAAAAACTATTCTTAAGCAAGTTTCCTCTGAAAGGCGTGATGATGATGATGATCTGAACATGCTTCAGGTGGCACTAAAGGAAACACTTTCAAACAAAAGATTTTTAATGGTTTTAGATGATGTTTGGAATGAAAAATATGGGGATTGGGACATCCTAAGTCGACCTTTCCTAGCTGGAAAATCAGGTAGCAAAATTATTGTTACAACTCGGAATCAACAGGTGGCCAAAATCATGTCTAGAACTCCAGCGTATCAATTGAAAAGTTGTCGGATACTGATGCTTTAACATTGTTAGCTCAACATTCACTTGAAGCTAAAACTTTTGATGTACGCCCAGATCTAAGAAAGATTGGCGAGTCTGTGATCAGAAGATGTGTAAACTTGCCATTGGCAGTGAAGGCTGTTGGCGGTATTCTACGCACAAAAGATAGCCCTACGGAATGGGAAGGTGTTCTGAATAGTGAGGTTTGGATAGCTGAAGAACATGGTGAAGTTCTTCCTGCCTTAAAACTCAGCTACCAATATCTTCCTCCTCAGTTGAAACAATGTTTTGCTTACTGTGCTATAATTCCAAAGGGCTTCTACTTTTTGAAGTCCGAGCTAGTGTATTATTGGATGGCTGAAGGTTTTCTGCAACAATCACAAGAACAAAGGCCCATGGAAGAAATAGGCAGTGATTATTTTGATGAACTTTTGGCTAGATCGTTCTTCCAAAAATCAACCTTCCGTACTTCACGTTTCTTTATGCATGACCTCATCAATGATCTAGCTATGTGTGTTGCTGGCGAAAAATGTTTAAGGATGTATGATATGGTGAAGGACAATCTTCAATACAAGATTTCTGGAAAGGTACGGCACTTGTCATTCATTCGCCATTACTATGAACCCTACCATAGATTTGATTTTGTCAATAGAATTGAACATTTGAGAACATTTTTGCCACTGCCCAAAATGATGCAACGCGATGTAAGATTTTTCACAACCCAAAGAGTTTTTGGTGAAATATTGCCAAAATTGTACTGCCTAAGAGTGCTGGTCTTGCACGGTTATGAAATATACGTGCTGCCCAGTTCTATTGGTGATTTAAGACATTTAAGGTACTTCGACTTGTCTAGAACACTACTCAAATGGTTGCCAGACTCTCTAACCACTCTTTGTAACTTACAAGTATTGAATCTAGAAGGTTGTTCCAGACTTGCCAAATTACCTGCATGCATAGGCAATCTTACTACGCTTCGCCATCTAAACATTGCTAATACTGATGCATTACACGAGTTACCTCAAGGAATTTCTCAACTGAAAAATTTACAGACATTATCGAAGTTGATTGTGTGTGAAAGTGGTGGGCTGAAGATAAAAGACTTGCGGAATTTCTCACATTTGAAAGGAGAAATATCTATTGAGCAATTGCAAAATGTGGTGAATGTTCAAGAAGCAACAGATGCAAGGCTAAGGTACAACCCAAGCCTTAATAAAATAAGACTGATATGGAGTAGTGAGTTTGATGAATCACGAAATGAAATTCTTGAACTAAATGTACTTGATGCACTTAAACCCCATGAAAACTTATCAAGTCTGGAAATTGAATTTTATGGTGGAGCAAAATTTTCTAGTTGGATTGGTGATTTGTCATTTTCTAAGTTGACAAAGATAAGCTTCAAATTTTGCGAAAACTGCACAACTTTGCCAGCATTAGGGCACCTGCCTTCGCTCAAAGACTTGGACATTCGAGGCATGGATAAAGTAAAGTTGATTGGAAGTGAATTTTATGGAAACGTATGCTATGGAGAATCACCATTTCCATCGCTAGAGATTCTGACTTTTGAGGACATGCCAGAATGGGAGGAATGGCATGGATTAGCACCCGAAGGAGAACATGCCATTGAAATTCCTAAGCTTCGCAAATTGCATATAGGTGGATGTCCCAAATTGGTTATGCTTCCAGTTCTTTTTTTTCCATCTCTTCATGAACTAAGTGTGGAATACTGTAATGAAGTGGTACTAAATTGCATGCACAATTTGACCTCTTTAACCAATTTAAAATTGAAAGAAATTCTAGGGTTAACTTCAGTTTCAAAAGCATTTAAACAGTTTCCATTGAAACTTGAACATTTTGAAATCGATGACTGTGAGGACTTAGCAACTCTGTGGCCAAGTGAAAGCATTGTGCAAAGACTAGTCAATGTACAAATAGTATCTGTTAGAAGGTGTCCTAAGCTCTTGTCCATTCAAGAGATTGGTGTTCTTCCTGTTATTGGATCTCTTGTTATAGAGGATTGTGCGTCTCTGGAGTTGTTTCCCAACAATATGTCTGCATATACAAGTTTGGGAATCAGAAACTGTCCGTCGTTGAAGATGATGATCACACTAGAGGATTGCAGAACCTCACTTGAATCTCTTAGCATTGGAAGTTGGACAAATTTAAATTTAACAAATTTAATGGGTTGTCTTCACAATTACTCAAGTCTCACTCGGCTGAGAATAGTATACTGTAATGATCTGGAGTCATTTCCCCAAGATGGCTTGCTCACTCCCAATTTGAGAGATCTTGTAATAATGTTTTGCCAAAATCTCAAATCCTTACCAGATCGGATGGAACAGCTATTGTCCCTTGAGACCCTGCAGGTGGATTGTTGTCCTTCACTAACAGAGTCCTTTCCCCAAGGGAATAGTCCCCCCAATCTGACCCAGCTTTCCATCTTTAATTGTGAGAAACTAAAGCCCCTGAAGGAATGGGGCCTGCACAAACTCAAATCTCTTCATTCATTCTCTCACAGTGGTGGATATCCCGAGTTGGTTTCATTTTCTAAAAATGACAATGACCAATACTATATGCTTCCTCAATCTCTTACTCAATTGTGCTTTTATGACCTGCCGAATCTTGAAACTCTATCAAATGGCTTCCAAAACCTCACATCTCTTCGACATTTAAAAGTCCACAATTGCCCGAAGCTTGTGGCATTGCCTTCGGAAGACCAGCTTGTCAGTCTTTGGAGCCTTGACATTTTTGATTGCCCGCTTCTTGAGAAACGTTGAAGAACAAAGGAGACTACTGGCCTGTCATCTCCGATATTCCCAATGTCAGAATTGATTGGCATTCCGTCCATGACCCAGATGCCAGTCCAGAGATTCCATGAGGTAACAGATTCTATTCGCTATTTACCAATCTTGTCTTTACATTATGCAAAACATTTTTGAAGATTTTACCAATGTTTTCATGGCCCAATATGAAACTTCTGCAATAAATTGTGAACTGAAATCATAATTTTATCCTGACATCGCCAGATCCGAATTGATGGGGCATCCTTTCTATCTATAAACCAGCATCATTGTCATGAAATTCATCAAGTAAAATATTCATTTACCTGCTACTATTCTGGTCTGCATTTCATCAACAACGTATCAAGATTTCATTTCCGAGCATGGATCAGATCATTGCACTTGGAGCCATAGAGTTTGGTCCTTGAAATTTAAATAGAAATAATGCCCTTCAAATTTAAATTGATAGTTTATGACGAATTTCAATTCTAAGTTACTAATTCCAAATCAAGCATTATTGGCATTTATGAATGTTACTCAGGATCCAATATATGTGGTTCTATTTTATGGCATAAATACGAATACAAGTTTCACTTTGACGTCCAGCTGCCATTAATCTATCAAATGGTTTCAGTGTAATTTCCCATTTTAATCAATGGATCTGTTCTTCGGACTCTTCACGATATCCAAGAAATGTGTCATTCTTAAATTACGAAAACAACAATATCCAAGCTGATCGTGGAGTATCTTTAGTTTTTATTTATTGGTTTTCATGGAGTTTCTTTATTCATAAACAGAGACAAAATTGTGGACAGATTTGCTGATGAAGATGGCAGAGGAACAGTTCTTGCTACTGCTGTTGCCGTAGTGGTAGCAGCAAGTTAGTTTCTACTAGTACAACAACCAGCTAGGCAACAAACGAGGTAACTCTTCCCAGCTTTCTTTAGTGTGATTGAGGTGGCACAGATACTATATATGTGGTAATAGAGTTTCAGTAGTGCATGTGCCAGTCATTTTTACTTGATTCATCGAGAGGATGTTCACTTGGGTAGTTGAGTAATGCATATGTAACATTATTTTATCTCTTAGGTATTCTACGTTATCGTAATGCGCAAGAATTCAATAAATATAGGAAACAACTTGAGTAACACTGCTTCACATTAATGACCTTTCTGGACATATACTTGATTTTCTCTAATGAAAAATATAATAATGGGTATCAATTTAATTGACTTGAAATCTGAATATGTGGCTGATCCTCATTTTTCTGAATAGGAGTTTGCAGTAGGCGGGTGAGTCTTGTGAATGACAATGGAGGAGGTAAACTTGTGCATAGCTTATGAAAGAGAACAGAAATGAGGTATGGATGAAGACACGACAAATGATGACTCCAATTGATAAGGCTACATCTGAAGTTATCAAATGTAGTTAATTATTTTAGATTCTATGATTCATGACTGATAGTAATTTTCTCATCTCAGTTCACTTATCAACAATGATCACGTGTCATTAAATAAAGACTTAATTACCCTCAAGGCCTCATCGGAAATCTATAAATAGGCATAAATGGGAACGAATAAAGTTATGAAAAAACTGAATACTCTCCTTTGATTTCTCTTCTAAGAACATTTCTAAAAGACTCTATTTTTAAAGAGCTTCTTCTACAATTTAGAAAGCACATATAAATTTAAAAAGTAAAAATTTTGAAGTACTCCAACATAATAAGTGTAGAAACTACATTTATCATCCCTTTAAGATTTAGAGTATCTCCAAAAGACTCTCTATTTTTAAAGAGTATATTCTATCATTTTGAGAGCATCTATAAATTTAGAGAGTTAAAATTTTGAAGTACTCCAACAAGCTTTTTATATTTAACACTTCATTTTACTATTCCAAAAAAATATTTATTGTTTTTCCCTATCTTTGATTTTTATTAGCTTCCGTCCAAATTATTATATTATTTTTCTCCATTGAAGATTGAAAATACTTTAAGTGCATTTAATTATAGAGTGTGGCTTCGGCTCTTCATATTTGGAGAGTCAAACTCGCTCTATAAATTAAATTATTAATTTAAAGAGTCTTTTGAAGTATAATTTTAAGAATTGACTCTTTAAAATAGAGAACATCTTATGTTTAAAAAAATCTCTTGAAAAATCATGTCAAGTAAGAGGAATTTGTTCACTCTCAATTTCGATGTCAACGTCAACATTCATAAATTGGCAAAATTTCCATCTCTCAACCAATTTGGTTGGTTAGTAGTAACTGGCTAAGATGGAGAGGTTTGGGTGGCTGACAAGTGATAAATTCACTTTTTTGAAGGGTGACGATAAAAGTGCAATATAATCTCTTCTGCTACTTTACCTTTTCTAATTTATTTTGGCTCTTGGTTCTTGGGAATCAAGTATATAATAAGTTATTTTTGCAAAACTAATTACAGATAATTTTCTTTTCAATATTTAGCCCCAATTTGGTTTAGAAAAAAAAATTGATTTTTAATAGATTTTGATATAAGTTAATGAAATGTGTGGTTAAAAAGTTATTTATATTTTAATCACATTCTTCAGTTAACTGAACCAAACAGAGGATTAGTTTAGTTAGAATGTCGTCAAATTTAGATTAATAAAAATCGTTGGTTGTTGATATTATAATCGACGACACAATTGTTTAGAATCGAAAGGTGCACACGTATCTCGGACGTAATTAGAACCTAAATTAGATTTCGAAATGTGTACTTTTTCTTGTTGAAAATTGTCAATCGAGCACATTGTCTCAATTAAAATGGATGTGTTCCATTAGCCCTTTCATCCAATTTAGACGACAAAAATAATTGGGCACACAAAATTAATTTATGGAATTAGATTAAAATTACCCTAATACTTATTTTGCAGCTATAATGAAAGGTCTGTGGAAAATTTGCTCCTTTTTAAAAATTAAGACCCGGCTTGCTAATGGGACAATAATCCCATGTTTGATACACATTCTTTCAAACTACATTATTTCATAACTCATTTTCAACCACACATTCTTCAATAAAATAATATTTTCCATCACATCAATAATTTTTTCTTTCTTTTTAACTACATATTTTTCATCATATCGCTGTTTAAAATGTATTATTTCCTCAATAATATCTATCAAACACACCATAAGTTAAAGACCAACAGTACAATTTCATCTATAAATTATGTATGGAAATAGGTCATCCTATATCTTGATGTGAATGCAAACTTACTTAGCCATAGTTCAATTCAGCTAAATAATTTGACTAAAATCTAAATCTAAATCTAAATCAACAATTAATTTTAAATACACATTTTATGAGATCCACTAACCGCAAATTCCATCGAATTTTGCTAAAAATCTGATAATAAGATAGGAAATGTTAGTTCTATTGTAAGTACAAGATGGCAATGACAAGTAACAAGAAGAAATTGCCTAAATATCCACACTCGAAGTCCGTTAGCCAAAATCCCTTTCAGCAGAGGAAGAATTGTTGATGAACTGTCTCCCCATTCTTTTGTGACTGTTAGAATCTGTTACTCATTCTTCAGCATAACAGAATTCAGTTGAGCTTAGTGGCGTAAATTTAGGAAGCTGTCTTGCCATATTTCTGTTAGCTCTATAGAGAATCATTCTAGAACTTTCTTATATGTAATGTATGTATTGATCCAACTGTATATATTCCCTTTGCAATGGAACGATGAAGTAACTTTTGAAGGTTCAAAATCATCTTAGAATCTAACTTGGTATTAGAGCCAAATGGCTAACACTAGCAAAGGAAATCATTTCGGGCCAACAGATTCTGGAATGTCTCCAATCACCCAAGTAGCTGTGAATCAGTTTTCACCAATTGGAATAACACTCAATCAAACCCCATCAATCAAGCTCAATAGAATCAATTATTTGCTGTGGAAGAATATGATTATGCCAATAATAAAAGGGCATAATCTCGAAGGTTATTTTCTAGGAACAAAGGACTGCCCACCAGAATTCTTAGCAACACAGACCAGTGTTGGACAAGGAGAGGTAGTTGAAATGAATCAGAATCCTGAGTTCAATAGATGGAATTCAGTCGACCAGTTGTTGATTGGGTGGTTATACTCAGCCATGACTCCTGAAATTGCAATGAAAGTCATAGGTTGCTCGAGTTCTAGCAAACTTTGGATTGCAATTGAACAGAGCTATGGAGTACTGAACAAATCCAGAATAGTTTCTCACTGGAGAACTGCAAAGAGCTAGGAAGGAAGCTATGTCTATGGATCAATACCTAACAGTAGTCAAGCTTAGCTGATAATCTGGAGGTAGCAGGAAAGGCTATAGACCACAATGATCTTGTAACTCAGGTGCTGTCAGGTTTGGATGAAAAGAGTACACCTACAGTGGTGCAAATCAACAGTAGAGATAACATTTCCTGGCATGAATTGTCATCAGTATTGATGACATTTGAAAGTCGACTTGAGTACTTAAACCAAGTCAAAAATAATTTTAACTCTATGAGTATAAATCAGTCTAGTGTACAGCAAGTTCAAAGAGCTGGTCCAGACAGTGGCAGAGCCTATAGAGGATTCAGAAATAGCAGGGGAACAAATTTTAGAGGTAGAACTAGAGGAAGAGGAAGACCAGGAAGGAAAGAAGATAGCAGAGGACCTTACTAAATTTGTGGACTGAACAATCACACGGCTAGCTGGTGCTTCAACAAATACGATGAGAGGTTTATGGGGAGCAGACCAAGCAATCAAAATCATCAAAATAGCAGCACAACACCATTTGCATACATTGCTTCACCAACAATTTTTGAGGATCCAGCATGGATTGTAGACTCAGGTGCAAGCAACCATGTTACATCAGACAAGAGCAACTTGCAAATTGCAAAAAGGTATGAAGGTAATGAAAAACATAGTTGGTAATGGTAATTCATTGCATATTACCTATACTAGAAATGGAAAAATTTCCACAGTTGATATTAAACCTCTTGCACTGCATAAATTACTTCATGT